CTGAGATGCCCGACCTTAGCGCCAAAGCGATTGGTGCTGACCTTGGGTACTTAGTGGCTAGCCTGGGCCGCCCCATCCCAGCCTCTCTTCTCTTTCTCTGTTCGCCACCCACGCTAGGGTTCCGGGTTCTCTCTCCCCCCTCACCCAATCTCCTCAAATACACCTCAAATCAAAGGGGGTTTCGTGGGGATTGACACTACTAGAAAATCGATTTTTCATGGCGTTTGGAAAATACTTTTCATGGCGGCCACGTGGAAAAACCGCCAGCGCAAAAAATCGTGGGGGTGGGGGGTCAAGGGCCGCCAGCGGAAACACATCTTTGCTAGCGGTCTACTTAAGAAGGCCGCCAACGAAGATAGGATATCTTCTCTGGTGGCTCTCTTAAGCTCACGCCAGTGAAGGTATTGTATCTTCGCTGGCGGTAAAGGGATGCGGCCCGCCAGCGAAGATGTAGGTGTCTTCGCTGGCGGCCCTCTTAACTTAACGCCAGCGAAGATACCATATCTTCGCTGGCGGTGTGGTGACGTGGACCGCCAGCGAAGATACCTACATCTTCACTGGCGGCGTCCATAACCCTCCGCCACCTCAAATCATTTTCAATGGCGGTTCAAACGAACCGACATATGACGACCGCCAGGGAAAATGCGCTGAACTATATGAACCAGCTACAGTAACCTCGAGCACCATTAGGAGCACGATTTTCTCTCTCTTAAGAACACATACATAGGGGGGAAGGTTTTGATCTCGAATCTTTTCAAAGATTTATTGTACCAGAGGTTAGTTATACTTTGTCCTACTCTTTTTGTCAACTTTTTTTTTCATTTTTATTGGTTGTATGTTGATATTTTTCATCGCAAAAAATACTTGACATGGAGGAAGAAAAACATTTTTTATTTGTTATTTGGAGCTCAAAATGGCAAACTTTGCAAGAAATATTGTGCATGATCGATGTTCCATATATATATATATATATATATATCTAGTTTTCGATAGGTTTATTTTTAGCAGATTTATATATTAGTTAACTGCAAAAGAATGAGCTAGCTAGGAAGAGAAGAAGAGAAAGAAGGGTAGTTTGGTAATTCGTCCGAGGGATGTATGTTTTATATATGTAGATTTTTGGCTAGCTTTAATTATCTTGTTCAAAATATTTAAACTAACTAAAGTTGTATTATATTTTCCGCAATTAATTAATTAATGCATAGATGGCGGACAGGGCATGGATGAATAAAGAGAGATATTGTGCGTCATACATTGAAGGAGTCGATATATTCATGAAAGCTGCTAAGAAGAATGCTGCATCTAAGAAGACCAAAGATATTAGATGTCCATGCGTGCACTGCAAAAATCAGAAAAGTTGGAACAATCCATCTGTAATCGAGCAACACTTGGTGACGCATGGATTTGTTGAACGCTACACAAACTTGTCAGCGTAGATGATGGTAATTTTGCAGATTTGGAAGAGATGTTGCATCATGCTGAACCTGAGGTTGTTGCTGGGTCCGCTCATGGGTTGGATAACTTTGATGCATTGAAAAAGGCAGCGAATGATCTTTTGTACGATGAGGCAAAGGGCTGTGAGAAGGATTTCACATTGTTGCGGACGGTGCTTGAGCTTATGAGATTGAAGGCCAGAAATGGTTGGTCTGACAGTAGTTTTAACGACTTGTTAGTTCTGTTGAAGAAACTTATTCCGCAACCCAACTCCCTCCCAACAAGCACCTATGAAGCGAAGAAGCTTATATGCCCTTTGTCACTAGGTGTGCAAAAAATACACGCGTGTGTTAACCACTATATACTATTCCGTAAAGAGTACGAGGATTTGGGCAGATGCCCAACATGCAAGAGTAGTCGATACAATACAAGCCGTAGCCAGTCCGAGGGTCTGGATGTTGCCCTTGACGATGTAGAAGAGTTCGATCCATGCAAAGACAGTAACAAAAAGAAGATTCCCTAGCTTGTCATGTGGTACCTTCCGGTGAAAGATCGTTTGAAGTGTTTGTTCTCAAACCCGAGGGATGTCGAATTGATGCGCTAGCATCATGAAAAGCGAAAAAAGGATGGGATGATTCGACATCCTGCAGATGCAAGACAGTGGAATGAATTTGACAGAAAGTATCATAAGTTTGCAGAGGACCCAAGAAACGTAAGGTTTGCATTGAGCACCGATGGAATGAATCCATTCGGTGACTTGAGCAACTCACACAGGACATGGCCAGTACTCCTAACCATGTACAACCTCCCAACGTGGCCGTGTCAGAAAAGGAAGTATATCTTGTTGACCATCCTTGTACAGGGACCACGACAACTTGGCAATGACATGGATGTGTTTCTGGAGCCTTTGCTGGAGGATATGCGCGATTTGTGGGAACACGGGATCCGAGTTTGGGACGAATTCCTGCGGGAGTACTTCACGCTACATGCAATTATCTTTGTCACCGTCAACGACTTGCCCACACTGTTTTCCCTATTGGCACAGATCAAGGAAAAGAAGGGTTGCGTTATTTGTGTGGATTGTACCATGTACAGGTATCTTAAGGGATCGAAGAAGCTAGTGTACATGTGGCACCGGCGTTTCTTAAGAAAGAATCACTCGTACCGCTCCCAAGCAGAATATTTCGACGGTACTGTTGAGGAAGGTGATTCACCGGAACCATGGAAGGGTGATAAAGTGTTCAGAATGACCAAAACCTGAAGGTTGTTTTTGGGAAGGTAAAAAAGAAGGAAACAAATAAGCGGAAGAGAAATGATGCCGAAGTGCCAGCAAGCCTTAGCGTGCCATTCAAGAAGCACTCCATTTTCTTTAAGTACCTTCCGTACTGGAAAGATTTAGACATACGCCATTCTATCGATGTCATGCACCTAGAGAAAAATGTCTTCGATAGCACCATTGGGACTATACTGGACATACCAACTAAGACCAAGGATGGGCCGAAATCATGTAAGGACCTCGTGGATATGCAAATAAGGAAAGAGCTTCATCCTGTGGATGAAGGTAATAATGGAAAAGTGTACCTTCTGCCTGCTTGCTACACCTTGACAAGAGAGGAGAAAATGGCATTGTGCAAATCCCTACATGGGGTGAGAGTGCCTACTGGCTTCTTCTCAAACATTAAGCGACTAGTGTCGATGAAGGATCTGTCGCTTTCAGGCTACAATTCCCATGACTGTCATGTAATGCTCACAGTATTCCTCACCATTGCAATTAGAGCAGTCGAACCAGTTCACGTAAAGCTGGTCATCACAAAGCTGTGTTATTTCTTCAATTACATATCTCAGAAAGTAATTGATCCTGAAGAGTTAGGTCCTCTTCGGGCTTTCACTATACAAACAGTGTGCGAGCTTGAGATGTGTTTCCCTCCATCATTTTTCGATATGATGCAACACCTCATAGTTCATATCGTGCCTCAGATAATTGCACTTGGGCCCCTGTACCTGCATCAGATGTGGCCTTTCGAACGATACATGTCCATTCTAAAAGGCTACGTACGGAACCGCGCCCACCCAGAGGGATCCATGATAGAGGGATACACAACCGAGGAGGTCATTGAGTGTTGCATTGATTACCTAAAAGATGGGAAAGCAATTGGTTTACCGGTACCCCGACATGAAGGTAGATTATCTGGGAAAGGAACAAAAGGGAAGAAAAGAATCCACGATAATGACTACAAAAAAGTGAAAGATACTCATTTCACTGGGCTACAGCAACTCACAATAGTGGAGCCGTACACCTGCATGAATTACAAGCAACAAATGTGGGGCGATCTAATGCATGGATCATGAAGAAACACAAGCATCACTTTACTGAAGGGTTCAAGAACCTCGATCTACCAGATGGCCATACCATGGAAGAAAGAACAATTAAAATGCTGGCGGATGGGCCATCAAGTGTGTATACCTTGTGGCAAGCATATGATCTGAATGGATACATGTTTTACACAAAAGCGAAAGACAAAAGGAGTGCATGCCAATACAGTGGCGTTCGAGTAGAAGCAATCGACAGAACTGGGCAAAAGAGCACATACTATGGATTCATAGAAGAAATCTGCGAACTAGACTACAGGCCAAATATGCAGATTCCACTGTTTCGGTGCCAATGGGTGAAACACCCAGCCGGCGTGTCTGTGGACAACTTTGGGCTGACAATTGTCGACTTTGACAACGTAGGCCACAAGGATGACCCATGGGTGCTTGCCGATCGGGTCGCTCAAGTTTTTTATGTGACAAACCCATCTCATTTGAAGAAAGACATAGTTATTTCGGGAAAACAAAGGATTTTGGGAGTTGATGATGTCGAAGATGTCGAGGCATACAATCAATATGAGAACATGACACTATTCACATATTTTCGAAACAAGATATTACGCGTCGAAGAATCAATTGGTGAATCGACGAAGCCATACATGAGAAATGAAGGTGTAGGGAAAAGTGTTTGATGCTAATTCATTATATATGTATATCACATGTTGGACGTATTGATGAATTTTAATGTATTATAATGCGTGACAATGATGGATGATGAATTTTTGTATATGGAATATGGTGACATGATAATTCTTGGATCAAGAAATAGTTTGGTATAAATTTATTTGTATGCATGCATTAAAAAAAATATCAGGCGCAAATATTAAAAAAAGTGATAAGAAATAAAATCATATTTTATTTTTTTGATAAATTAATCATATATGTGTAGAAATAAATAAAATTATTTTTTCAGTTGAGAATGACATGCGGGAACAAAGGGTTTTCGCTGGCGGCCGGCTTTGCCCACTGCTTGCGAAAACTGTTTTCGCTAGAGGCCCAGATAAGCTACCGCCAGCAAAAACTGTTTTCGCTAGCGGCCCACATAAGCTTGCCGCCAGTGAAAACCCTTTTCGCTAGCGGTCAGCGGAGGAAAATGTTTTCGCTAGCGGTCGGCGCGTTCCTCCGCCAGCGAAAATGTCTTCGCCTATAAGTAGCTAGCACGCGCGGTTGAAAATTTCCTAAGTCCCGGAGGCGCGCGAACCCTAAATTTTGTGTCGCCAAGCTGCCAAAATTTTGAGCACCGCCGCCAGCGATAACCCTAGCGCCCGCCACCGCCGCCGCCTCCTCCTCCATTCGTGCCATTCGGACACAGCTCCTCCATTCGTGCCTCCTACTCCTCCTCTCCGCCGCTGCCTCCTCCTCCTCCTCTTCGCTGCCGCCGCCGCCAGATCCAGCTCCCACCGTCATTCTCTCTGCCACCGCCGGGTCCTCGTCGTCCACGCCGCCTCCACCTCGGCCAGCCGCCTACACATCGGGAGTCGCCGCCGCCGGGTCCTCGTCATCCCCCCCCCGCCACCGCCAGGACGCCGCCGCCGCGCAGGGACTCTTTCGTCGCCGGCTCCTTTCACCATGGTGAGCCCACGCCCTTTGCCTCCCCTCTTCTGTCTTCTCTCTGATTAACCCCATCTTCTCCTCCTCAGCCGCGGGGCATCGTCGTTGCCGTCGCCGGGACTCGTCGTCGTGCTGGGACCTTCTCGGCCGCATCACCGCCAGGACGCCGCCGCCGCCGCGCCTGGACTCGTCTCGTCGTCGCCGCCGCCGCATCCTCCTCCTCTCGGCGGCCGCGCCGAGACGCCGGGCTGCCGCACCGCCACGCCGAGAAGCCCACAAGCTAAGAGGCCGAGACGCCAGGTCGTCATCGTCGTCATCGTCCGGCCCACCGCACCACCTCAATCTCGTCGTCGCCGTCGCCGCAAGCCTCCAGGTAAACACACCCCCTCCTCTGCTGTGTTGAATGTGAGATTCTGAGATGAATTTTGAGATGAATTTTGTGCAGTGAATCTGTGATGAATGTGTGATGTGAATCTGTGATGAATCTGTGGATGTGATGGGATGGGATTGATGAATCTGAGATGAATTTGTTCTGCTGCTGCACTTTGTATAGGTATGCTGACCTGAATATGATTTAGTTGTCACAATTTGGGTGAATGCAAATTGGTTGGGGGGTTTGCAATGTGGCAGATGGCACTGCAATAGTTGCAAATGTGATTTAAAAACATGAATGTATAGATGGTTTCACCCCATTTCGTAATCTGTAATTGATATAGATTGATGAAATGATATATATGTGAGATGTAGTTGGGACTTAGGAATTTTGGATGGAATTATGAACTGACACTGCATATGAAATTTTGCTACTTTTTGTCTTGTAATTTCAGATTGTAGCTAGTTTGAAACTTGATGATTGTTGCTATTTTTTGTCATATAAGTTCAGATTGTGCAATATGATTTGGTTGATGGATGGATGAATTTGGATAGATTTTATTAGCTGTTTTGTTTGACTGATGCACTGAAACTGCATATATATAATCGTGCTCTTTTTCCATATAAATTCAGATTGTTGCAAGTGTGATTTAAATTCTGAAATCCAATGATGTATGGCTATATATATGGTTTTGCAATGACATGATGTATGGCTATATATATGGTTTAGGGTTTGAAATTTAGTTCAAATGGATGAATTGATAGATTGGCCGCAGATTTAATGTAATTCCTAGGTTATCAAACCATCACAGAATACAAAGTGCATGGGGAATTTTGGTGGATTGGTCAGTGTAGTCCATGGACGGAACCAACCTAGACACCAAAATTCTCCATGCACTTTGTATTATGTCATTCTTTGATAATTAAAGAACTTAATTAGGTTTAGGGTTTGAAATTTAGCTGAAATGGATGAATTGATAGTTTGGCCGCAGATTTAATGTAGTTCCGAGGTTATCAAACCATCACAGAATACAAAATGCATGGGGAATTTTGGTGGATTGGTCAGTGTAATCCATGGATGGAACCGACCTAGACACCAAAATTCTCCATGCATTTTGTATTCTGTCATTCTTTGATAATTAAGGAACTTAATTAGGTTTAGGGTTTGAAATTTAGTTCAAATGGAAGAATTGATAGATTGGCCGCAGATTTAATGTAGTTCCTAGGTTATCAAACCATCACAGAATACAAAATGCATGGGAAATTATGGTGGATTGGTCAGTGTAGTCCATGGATAGAACCGACCTAGACACTATAATTCTCCATGCATTTTGTATTCTATCATTCTTTGATAATTAAGGAACTTAATTAGGTAGTTTGAAATGGTCAGTGTTGGTGGATTGTAATATTGATGTCGTTACCAATCTCATTGATTGCTTTAAGCGATCAAGGAGTTTGCTGGCGATAACAATATTTATAGTTGTAGTACAAAATTAGTATATAAATTTTGCCTTCTTTTCGGATTTACAATAAGAAAATGATTCCATTTCGCAACTAACATAAATTCACCTTCAAGCGATATCAATAGACAAACCCACCCAAGAGCAACCCACGGGTGACAAGGGCAAGGAAACTCAGCTAGTCATGGAGGAAGATATTTGCACGCAAGTAGTCGTGGAGGAATCTTCGTTGTCTAGCTCAAGTGAACCAGGCAGTGGATCGTATCACTCGCCGAGTGACCCCCATCCTTCTCTTGGAAAGAAGAGAAAGGGCGGTAGCAACAATGAAGTTGACTCCGACTACGTTCCCCCCGAACAGGTGGTACGTAGCATATAATAATGGGTTTGTTGGAACCATGCCACCCTATATTTGCAAAATTTGAGATATGACACCCGTATCTCAATGACATGTAGGACCCACATGAGTCAATGACATGTGGGTCAGGGTGGCATATCACAAATTTTGCAAAATTTGTGTGGCATGGTTCAAATTGTCCCTATAATTATAATATATGTTTAGTTCCAATCATATTAACTGCGTTCTATGGATTTTAATTAAAGTCACGTTAATTGCAAACAATAGTTGAATGCTCCACGTCGCTCCAAAAGGAAAGCCCAAGCCGCAACTGAACCTGAAGCTGAAGCTACAACTGTCGTGCGCACAACAGCTTTAAGCAAACCCAAGAAAAGGAGGGGCGAGCGAGGGAAGAACATGTTGTTGAAGGAAGTAAGCGTGCTGACGCGGTTGAGTGAGACAGGGGAACCCCTGTCACCGGAAGACTCATGTTCAAAGTATAGCAACCAATGTGGGGCGGTGGTCAGGGATATCGTGGAGATCACATGGAAGGATTGGAAGAAAGTTCCAGAGAGTCGAAAGAGCAGCTGTTGGACGTCGCTGCAAAGCAAGTTTGAATATCCAGAGGGGACAGACGACGATAAAGCCAAGGATTATGCATTGAAAACAATGGGGAAGCTGTGGCGAAACTGGAAAACGGACCTGAATAAGAAATATGTCTAGAAGGGACTCACGCCATTTAAGGACTACGGAAGGATAACACGGGCCCAGTGGGATGAGTTCGTTGCCAGAAGATGGCTGAGCTAGCAAGAAGGAATGAATATCCACATCATTTGGGATCGACCGGTTACCGGCAAGCGGTGAAGAAATGGGCAAAACAAGATGAAGAGATGGAGAAGGCTGGGAAACCGGTTCCTATGAAAAATTACAACCCACGAAGCAGGAACTGGGTGCGTGCAAGAACACCGGCCTTCATCAGAAGCTCCAGGAGGTAGCTGTCAATATGAAGAACATTGTCACGCAGCAACAGGCCGGGACGTTCGTGCCAGATAGAGACCGGGACGAGCTGACCTATGCCTTGGGAAAATCAGAGCAATCTGGCCGTGTATGGGGAGTTTCCTCAAAGACTAACTGGAAGGATGGATTCAAACAGGATGCTCATACCTACAAGAAGCGTGATCGCTACAAGGAAGAGATTGACTCTCAGGCTAGGGCAGCAGCTCATGATGAATGCAATATATACTGGAGTCAGAAAATGATGCACGGTGCTGCTGTTTTAGAGCCTGAGCCGAGCTATCCTTTTGATGATGTAACGGAGGATACTCCGTGCAAGCTCTTGATTCCGGTCGGCAGGGCGGGAAAGAAAATACTCGTTGCAACTGGGAGGTTCATACCAGGCCACAGGTTTCATTGCCAAGACATTCCGGATGACTACGCCAAGGTAGAGGTCTGGACAGATGCACGAGCTCGACTTTCCAACTACTGAGCAGATTGTGTACCTTGGAAATGTCGTCGACCAATTCATACTATGGCACAAGAATGATATTGAACTAGGGTCAACGGATGGAACTGATCGTCCACCAAGGATACCGGTGTCACCGTCGCGTCCACCAGTCGTAGCCAGTCCGAGGGATAGTCCTATTGCTTCACCCCCTAGACCAGAGCCACCAGTTGCATCATCTCCAGGACCAGAGCCACCTGTTGCATCACCTCCAGGACCAGAGCCTCCTGTTGCATCACCTCGGACAGAAAAGGATGCAGAAGAACAATCGGTGCTTGCAAAGCAACAATCACAGCTAGCAATACGGGAAATGTCTTCCGCACAACCATCAGAGCCTGTACAAGCAAAGCCTACAAAGCTAGCGGCGGGTGAAATTGAAGCGGTGCTTGATCAGCCAATGCCCGATCAACCAGAGCAATCGCAACCAGAGCAATCGCAGCTAGAGGAATCTAAGGGTGCCGATGTGCCAGTGATGGTAAGGACGCACAAGCACAAAGCAAAAAGTGCGTCCAAGAAAATTAAAGGGTTCAAACAGACCTTCGATGACTATCTCAACTATATCAATTCCCCAGACGTGCCACACGAGTTTGAGAATGGCAAACCATTCATTTACGACTGGCAACTAAGAAGGTGGCACGATTGGTACATTAGGGTAAGCACCATGAAAGGCATCGATTCATTCACAGTTGCTGTGGGGGAGAACATCTTCTGGAGCGGTCCTTGTCTACTCCAAGTCCATTTCTCCGATATGCATTCCCTCTACACCAATTTGATTGCCATCTGGTGTCTGTTACTGCTACACTTGAACGTGTTAATAGATCACTACACCTGTATGCGTAGCTCATTTGGTCATCCATTGTTGGCAGGAGGAATTACCTGGAAGCTGAAGCGATGAAAAAGCCTGTCGCCTACCTAAACCCGTGCAGGATAAGTAAGCCGAACCACACATACACGCTAGACGAGAAGAAGCTACCGGAACACATCAAGTCTATGACTCCCGAAGAAAGGAAAGCTTACATAGCACAAAGGCATCATGAAAAGGTGCTCGATGTCACTACGTACGTAGCTATTGCGCTTGAATCTACGCAGGACAAGGAGTGTGTTTATGCCCCATATTCCTTTGAGTAAGTTGTAATATATATGCACTAAGAGTATATACATATAATCATGGCTCGACTAACAATTTCGTTTGCAGCGACCATTGGATAGTCTTTCTTCTCTATCCAAAGTACAATGAAGTTATCGCCTTGGATTCTCTCGACAAAGATAGCAACACCTATCAGGAATTTCTAAGAATTATCGATCTGTAAGTAAGATATTAGCATGACGTGTTTTAACCTCTGATGAATGTAAATTAGTTATATCCGCAAAACAATGCATTTAAAAGGTATTACCAGCGAGGCGGACTATGCAAAACTCAAGAGAACGCATATCCATCCGCAATAAGTGGCCGGTAAGTACATATATATGGATGCCAAATAGTACTACTTAATTTTCATAAATGCTTGTGTGTTTCCATGTAATAACCTATTATACCTTATAATTATTTTGATGTTGAAAGTGTCACAAGCAACTGGTGGGAACAGTACTATGCGGATATTACTGTTGTGAGTTCCTAAGGGTTAATGGGAAATATTGTGCGAATTACGACGAGGTAAGTAATACACACTTGTTAAATTAGTCGCTAACTTGTATTATTGTGAATAGTTAATTTCCTTAATTCTGTCATGATCTGGTTGCAGCTTCCAAAATTCCTCAAGTCTGAAAGAGAGCTCAATGATACATCCATTCAGAACATTCAGGCGGACATGTGCTACTTCATCCACCGTGAGTGCGCACATCAGCTTGGGCAGTTTTTCAACAAGGAAGGAGTCTTAGCCCTGCCGGAGAACGAATCCCTGTCTAACTGGACCAGGCGTATAATATAGCTAGGGTTTTGTAATTCATTCAAAATACTTGTAAATGTTATGTCGTTGGTCGAATTTAATTTGTCAATGTACATATATATAGGTGCTTCCGAATATTTATATATATGTATATTATTCTGTTTCATATATACTCAATGCGTGGCTCTAAAATACGCGAAAGAGAACATACTCTATCGATAGCTCGATTAGTTATATCAACCACGTCTGACTCTGAAAGACGCGCACGAAGAAAAGAAAAAATAGTATATATAATAATGTTTTAATTTTTTTAAAAAAATTGCATCTTCACTGGCGGGCCATGTGTCAGAACTAGGACGGTCCATATCTTCGCTGTCGGGCCACGTGTCCATCCACAGAAGCCTTACTTCATTTTTCCTAGCGTGCCACGTGGCCTAAAATATTGTGAGCCGCCAGCAAAGAATTATCTTCGTTGGCGGCCGACCTAAGGCTAACGCAAGTGGAGATACTTCTTTGCTGGCGGCTGCGTTATGTCCGCCGCCAGCAAAGACATGTCTTCGCTGGCGGCCGTCCTAAGGCTACCGCCAGAGAAGACATCTCTTTGCTGGCGGGTGTTCCTTTCTCAACCGCCAGCGAAGATGCATTTTGGCTGGCGGTAAATAACCGCTAGCGAAAATCGACATTTTCACTGGCCTTTGCTTTTTGGCGACTGCGATTTCCGCCAGCAGAAACCCAAAATGGCCGCCACGAAAGATGGTTTTCGTAGTAGTGTGAGTTGAAAATCGTTTGGAAAGGTAAACTTCTCCAAAAACCCTAATTTTCCCGACATTATATTGTGTATTTTGCATTGATTTGGTTCAAATCGTGGTTTGAGAATAGTTTGCTCGTGATGAATTGTTAGTTGGATAATGTGGGTGGGGATGTAGTGTGGAAGTGACATATTAATATTGCTCCATTTGGTTGTTGTTGGTTTGTAAATTTTAGAAACTATATTTGGATGTGTGGTGATGGCTATGGTTTGAATGGGGTTGATGTGGGGTGATGGCTAGGCAATTTATAGGAGTATGGAATTTTAGTTTTATGAACAATGTGCATGTTTAGTATTTTAGTTGGTACAATTTGGTATTTATTTATGGATAAAGCTTCACATGTGCCTGCCATGTATATTTTCTCTTGCTCTAAGATTTGAAATAGACGTAAGTTCAGCAATGTATTTTTTCCTCACCTTTTCTAGGCGACTGGATTGTTCTAACTTCTGCAATATACTCGGCAAAGAATGTTATTAGGTTACAACAGGGAAATAAATACATGTAGAGCATGAATTATGCAATTCTTGTTTGAGTTTGGTACCCACATTGCAGAGTAGCACAAGAATAATTTATCTACTACTCTTATGTTGTAGCACATACTTGAGCCATGCCTATCCTCTCAAAACCATTGTAGTGTACTGAACTATTTTCATCTTGCTGTGTTCCAGCAAAACACCTGTGTTCCAGCAAAAAACCTATGGCGCACTTTCCAGGGTTGGAGGATTTCTAAGAGGAGAAGCACCGGGCTCCCAAGATAGCCAGCGGAGAGGTTAGCCCCAAAAAGTATTTCATTCTTTCCACAATTTATGTATATCCTATGTTCTTGCTAACACTACCATATTATTTGTGTCTTTTGATGCAGCTGCTGAAGACCCTTCGAGTAAGAGGTCACACATCACACATCCCGTTCGACGTCTGGTACATTCCGTACCTACGGCGGGCGAAGCTGTTCGTGTTCGTCACCATGGCGCAACGCCCGATGCCTCTGTACAACGCTGCGGCTCTGACGGCCCTTGTCGACATATGGCGCCCAGAGACTCACACCTTTCACCTACCCTTCGGGGAGTTGACGGTCACACTGGAGGACGTCGCCATGATCCAGGGTCTTCCTATACGAGGTCAGGCAGTCACAGGTGACACGGCCTCAGGGAACTGGAGGCAGCGGGTGGAGGAGTACCTCGGTGTGGAGCCTCCAGTGGCAGCTGATGGTCAGCGGCTGACGAAGACCTCCGGTGTGCCTCTGAGTTGGTTGTGTGCCAACTTCTCCCAGTGTCTCACCGACGCGGACGAGGACACGGTGCAGCGATACTGCAGGGCGTATGTGTTATACATATTTGGCAGTATTCTGTTCCCTGACTCTGGTGGAGACATGGCTTCTTGGATGTGGTTGCCGTTACTGGCGGACTAGGACGAGGTGGGTACGTTCAGCTGGGGGTCTGCTGCCCTAGCCTGGCTCTACAGGTAGCTGTGTGATGCTTGCCGAAGAACAAGCGGAGACGCCAACCTAGCAGGCTGTGTTTGGTTGCTACAGGTTCGTAACATTTTCCTTCCGTGCAAAAAAAAATTGCATGCTAACGTGTGTGTTGCAGGTTTGGATGTGGATGAGGCTTCCTGTTGGTCGCCCTACATGGAGGAGCCATCCAGCATGGTCCCATCAGGATCCGGACCGACGCCCCACAGTAGCATTCCTATAGGAAACGGTCCCATCTCCAGTAGTAGGCCGTAGGAATTTGGCCTACTACCACTACACAAACGAGATGGACTACCTTCAGCCAGAACATGTGAGTACTAAACCCTTTTATCCTAGATGAAAATGGTGACTTACTCTATAATATAAAATTTAACTAAATGTTTCTTGTGTTGGTGCAGGTGGTGTGGACACCATATGAGGCACAGGAAGTGGTCGAGCTAGACATCAACCCCATGTGCCACATAGAGGATGCGTTGCAAACCCTGCGGTGCCCACTGATTTACTTCTATGCAGTGGAGTTCCAGCTGTGCAACTGCGCGATGCGGCAGTTTGGGAGGCTTCAAACAATCCCGCACCGTTTCTCCACTAGTATCGACCTCCACAAGTAAGTACTTTGAGTTAACAAACCAATTCGATTTAATGCCATCCTCAAATTCTTGACTTGCATATTTTGCATATGTGCAGGGTCGACCGTCGGAAGAACAAGAAGGTAACTGATTGGGCTTACTACCATCAAGATCATATTACGCAATGGGAGAAATTCAATGAGAACGGAGTACCGGACCAAGGTCAGCACAACGGGGCGGAGTTCGATGCGTACGTGGCGTGGCTCCACAGGAACTATCGTCTCGTCCTACGTCTGGCTTGGACGCTAGCTGACATAGCGGATGACCCCGAAGATGTGAAGGAGCAGAACGAGTATGACACTCGGACCCGTGAAGGTACCACGGTCGAGATGGGACCTGTTCGTGATAGAGTGGTGAGTACTACCACTGTTACGTTATATGCACTCTCCCGCTTTATTTAACATTGTGACTTATTGCATTTCTAACCTACAGGCACAAGAGCTCTTGAGGGCCGTCAATGACACGGGAGTAGCGCTTGGCACGGCTCCTGGGTCGGAAGGAGAGAGCAGCACCCTACGCAATGCACTACGGGTACTCCTTCAATAATCACTGAAACTACGCAGGTGTTTACTCAAAACTCCTTCAATTACCTCAGCGCTAACTCAAAACTTTTGGTTGCAGGGACTGAGACAGCGATGTCGGAAGTTGGCAGCGCGGCTGGGATGTAGGTCCAACGATGCCGTCGATCAACTTCAGGGCCACCAACACGCGGAGGAACACGCGGAGCCAGAGGAAGACCAAGAGGTGGACGGCGAGGAGGCGGAGGAAGACCAAGAGGTGGACGGTGAGGAGGCGGAGGAAGACGAGGAGGCAGGGGAAGAAGAGGCAGTTGAGCTCGGTTCCTCCCAGCGGGGCCATCGCAGGCGGGGCCATCGCAGGCGGGGCCATCGCAGGCGGGGCCATCGCAGGCGGGGCCATCGCAGGCGGGGCCATCGCAGGCGGGGCCATCTCGACCATGGCGCAGGCGGGCACCTTCACAGGACTGGAGGTTCACTCCCGATGTGCCTCGTCCTCGTACTAGAGGTAGGAAGAGGTAAGTCGGTTTTATGTGTCTTGACGGGTGGATGGGCTTGATGTACAAGTGTAGGAGTGTAGCTGGACAAGTGCAGTTTCACATCTTCTTTTATGCCTAGCTGGTTCTTTGGGCAGAACCAAATCACTATGGTGGTCTGTACATAGTGGAGACCTTCTGGTCATCTTTTTTTTCTCATTTATCTGTCTGGCTGCTGCAAATCCACTTAAACCAAACCACAGAAAGAATGCTGTAAACTAGGTACTGATGCAAGCCAAAGTGATAAGTTAACAACAGTATTTTGGAACAAGAAAATCACAGACAGTACTAAATTAGTTAATAAATAACTTGAGGATCCTCAGTTGACTAGTATTGTAACATACAACAGCCGGGTGAATAGCTCCAAATATTCCAGGCTTGTATGGCAATCCAATCGACTCCTGTTTTGTGTATATCGACTTGATGGATGGATGGATGGATGGATGGATGGATGGGTTATGTGTTTCTGTGTTTGCTAGATGGATTGATGGATTATGGAAGGACTTGATTGATGGATGGATTATGTGTTTGTGTGTTTAGTGGATGAATGGATTATGGATGTAATTGATTGATGAATGGTAAATAATGCCTGGAGTGTCTGTGAATGTATTCTGCAAACTGCTAATTTGTTTCTCTGGGAAGAGAGCTGGTTGTCGGCCTCTTAGGATGGCTTGTCAAAACTCAGCGCCAGTGAAAATGGCGCTGACCTATCGATGCTCAACGCTATATTTGCTGGCGCTGAGCTACTCCAGTGGCTGTGCTGGAGGGATGGACTCGACTGTCGCGGCTAGGTCGAATCTCAGCGCCAGCTCTACTGGCGCTGAAGTCCAGAGGCTCCGCGCCTAACACATTTGCGCTGAGGACCCAGCCCAGCGCAGGGGAGACGCAAGGGCCAAATATCAGCGCCAAGTTCATTGGCGCGAATGTTTAACATGTTAGTGCCAGTGTTGTTGGCGCTGAGGTCCCTGCCACGTCGGAAAGGAGATCGGCTCGGGCGCCATGCTGGCACAAGGTCAGCGCCAGGATAGCTGGCCCTGAGCCGACGGCCTATTTCTGGATATAGTTTTTGGTAGGGACTAGTTTCGAAATAAGTTTTTCAAAAGGGCCAATTTGTCAAAAAAAAAAGGGGCAAAAGGGTCTATCGATAATACTAGTATTTTGACTGCTCGGGAGATGGTGTTTCTGAATTTCTGATGTGACTA